GCCCCACCTTGTACCAGGACGACCACTCAGCCGTCCCATCTCCTCCCCCAGGCGCCCCTCCTGTGGCATCGCGTCTCCACCCTGCTCAGAGCTTAATTCATCCTTGATTGTCACCGCTTCCTGAGCAGCTGCTGGGTGCCAGCCCTGTGCTGGGAGTCAAGGATTAGAAGCCACGTGAGTCCGCACATTCCCTTTTGATTTTTTCAACCACTTAAAAATATAAAAACCATTCATAATTCACAGGCCATACGAGAAGCTGTGGGCTGGGTTTAGCCCACCGGTCATGGTTTCAATTCTTGCTCTATCCATAGCAACAAAAACGAACTTCAGCCACACAGTGGAGTGGATGAATCTTGGCAAACATAATGCTGAATGAGAGGAGCGGGTCACAGGAGAACACATACATATCCTTCAATTACTCAAAGCTCACAAACAGGCGAAGCTAGTCCATAGGGTTTAGGGATGTGTCCTAATGATAAAATTATGAAGAAATGCCAGTAAGTGATCACCCTACCAGCTGGGATGGGGGTACCTTTTGCAGGGGCGGGTGCCTGAGCCATGGGGATGTTCTCATTCTTGACCTGATGGGAGTCACCTGGGACTTTGTTTTCTATTGCTCACCAGGCACCACGGTGTTTTTCTATGTGACAGTTCACAATGACAGAGGAGAAAGCAGTGAGATAGGACCTGCTGGGAGGCTGCGTGGACCCCTATTTGAGAGGTGTTTGTGATCTTCCCATTGACAATCTGTATCCCTCGGCTGTGTCAGGCTTCCCCTCCGGTCAAGCTGAGCCTCTCCCGGCCCTCCCGGCCCTGCCTTTGGGCTCTCAGCCCTCATTCCCTCAGGTACCTCCCACTCTGCCCCCACTCCTCGGCAGCCTTCCCAGCACTCCCCTACCTCTCCTGCCTGCCTCTGCCTCAAACACCCTTTATTGGGGTTAGACAAAGATGAAAAACAGAGGCTCTTCCGGACAGAGGTCCGGAAAGGCGGGAAGGGAGGCAGGAGGTCTCAGCCTGGAGCAGGCAGGGGCTCCTGAACATCTTTTATTTTATTATTATTATTATTTTGAGATGGAGTCCACTCTGTCACCCAGGCTGGAGTGCGGTGGTGTGATCTCAGCTCACTGCAACTTCCACCTCCCAGGTTAAAGCGATTCTCCTGCTTCAGCCTCCCGAGTAGCTGGGATTACAGGCACGCACCACCACGCCCAGCTAATTTTTGTATTTTTAGTAGAGACGGGGTTTCACCAGGTTGGCCAGGCTGGTCTTGAACTCCTGACCTCAGGTGATCCACTGTCTTGGCCTCCCAAAGTGCTGGGATTACAGGTATGAGCCACCGCGCCCGGCCTGGTACATCTTTTAAACAACAAAGAGCACGATGGCACCTGGGTCCAGAGCAAACCTGTCTGGAATTTCCGCTGAGGCTCACGATCCCACCAGGCTGAGAGTGGGGCCCGTGGCTTGTTCACCTCTGGGTTCCCCCACTCCAGGTGCCTAGAACCGGTCCTTCTCAATGGATATTTGAGAGATAAATACAGCCCAGAGTTCTGAAAAGGCCACAAAGAGAGAGGGGACTGACATTTGCAGAGGACACTAAGGTGCAGAGAGGTTAAGTCATTGTCTGAGGCCCACAGCCGTCACCAGAAGAAGGCAGGCCTGGAACTCAGGTCTGTCCAGCCCCAAAGGGACGACGGAGGCCCACGGAAGCTGGGCTGCAGCTGCTCCCAGAAAAGCTAAGCCCGCAACAATTCCCCTCTTGGGGATACCACCAGTGGCTGCCTTTAAGCAAAGCAGACTTTGCAGAGGGATCAAAAAGCCAGAGGGCAGGCCCGAGTCCCAACTCAACTGGGAGGAGGAAGATGGCTGGGAGCGGAACAGGCACCCCAGATGAGCTGGAGGCTGTGGGCTCATCAATCTCAAGTCTCCATGGCTCTGGCGAGGCTGGCAGGCGGCTGACGCTCACTGAGCTCTAATCACATGCTGGGCTCTCAGTCCTCAGGATGTGCTATGAGGCGGGCAGCGCTATCACATCCATTTAACAGAGGAGGCATAGTGATATGAGCGATCTGCCCAGGGCGCCCGGGTGAGTAGCAGAGCTCAAATTGAAACTGGGCCAGGCTCAGTGGCTCGTGCTTACAATATCAGCACTTTGGGAGGCTGAGGAGGGCGGATCGCCTGAGGTCAGGAGTTTGATACCAGCCTGGCCAACATGTTGAAACCCAGACTCTACTAAAAATACAGAAATTCGCCAGGTGTGATGGCTTATGCTTGTAATCCCAGCTACTTGGAAGGCTGAGGTGGGAGGATCACTTGAACCCAAGAGGCAGATGTTGCAGTGAGCTGAGATTATGCCACTGTACTCCAGCCTTGGAGACAGAGGACCCTACCACAAAAAGATAAAAACAGGCCAGGCATGGTGGCTCACACCTGCAATCACAGCACTTTGGGAGGCTGAGGCAAACAGATCACCTGGGGTCAGGAGTTCAAGACCAGCCTGGCCAACATGGCAAAACCCTGTCTCCACTAAAATACAAAAATTAGCCAGCTGTGGTGGTAGGTGCCTGTAGTGCCAGCTACTTGGGAGGCAAAGGGAGAAGAATCACTTGAACCCAGGAGGTGGAGGTTGCAGTGATCCGAGATCACGCCACTGCACTCCAGCCTGGGTGACAATAGTGAAACTCCATCTCAAAAAAAAAAAAAAGTGGGTGGGGGCTGTCTGCTGCTCCAAGGGACTCTAGGACACCTAAGGGTGTTTTCACCTCTTGTGAAAGAACAGTTTCTCTTTTGTATAACGTTTGTTGCAATACTGGGTGGGAGGGGGTGGTGCTGGGGAATCTGTTTTTGTTTGTAGTTGAGACTGTTACAAAAGAGCTTTTCCTCAGTAACACCCCCAAAGCCTCTTTCACCACTCGGTTACCAGGGTGCACTGGGTGCCTTCTGGGGAGGACGAATCACACAAAGGGAAAGGATGGAAATTGGGGAGAAATTAAATTAAAAATGACAGTGAGATGAGACACATGGACACCAACCGGCTGCATTTCCCGGGTCTGGCCGTGTTTGCACCAACAGTCTGTGGTGTGGGTGGGGGTGGCCACAGGATTACAGGAGACGGTGTCCTGGGCTCTGGCTCCAGCTAGGGAGGTTCGCACAGGCCAGCCCTTGCCTCC